GGCCCGCAGGACGGGACTTGCAGTCACCACCAATGTGTTGCCTGTGGATGCCTGGCCTGTGGATTGCCTGGCTGGGGCTCCTACTGCGGCACGTCACCAGGGAGCAAGTAGGGCTGTACTGGGAAGGAGGCCTCGCCCTGCGCCTCACAGTGCTCAGGCCGCCAGGAGAAGGAGCAGGGGCCACAGCAGCCACCTGCAAATGGGCAAGTTGGGCCTGAAAGTGCCTGCCACAGTCAAGAAGGACCTCAGCCCTAAGAGCAGCGAGTATCGCGTCAATATCCATATGACAGATACTCAGGAAAGTAAGGTAACAATTCCTAGCCGATTATAAAATGGCATGGGCGAGTACAGAACATGTCTCCTATTTATACCCCCTACCCTGCCAATCACTTACTGCTGACCACACCCAGTCCCACCCTATCACCCAAAGCCCTAATGCGCATGCAGCACTGGTCACATATGCACATTAGGTACCCCATTGGCGTGACCTCACTGGAGAAGGAGAGTGATCAAGCACCAAAGGACCTCGGCATGACCTCGGTGAATGTTAAAAGGATTTTTAGCCCTCTCGTGTGCACGCGGGTAACCTTAAGTAATAAGCACAGGGGCATACTATAGGGAAACCCCTTAAGGACCAAGCTTCTGGAATAAAAGGGAATCATGACATGTCACACATGTCATGTGTCCTTAAGGGGTTAAATTTGAAATTCACTTGGAACTCTCACTTGAGTAAATAAATCCTGCTATGTTTTCTCTCAGCTCTGACACTGCAGCAATCTGTAAAAACACTCCACAGATGGCGAGAGCCAAGCCGAGCTACGGACTGCGGGTTCACTAGCAGCGGACTGTGCATGTGCACATGACCTGCAGCTCTACCTATCTTGGCTCACAGCTCCGTTAACTAAATAGTGATCAAGGCTGTGTTTAAACTGGTAGCAGAGTGGCAATGGCTGCTATCAGTTCCACTGATCACATATTAATTTAATCTCTGGCAGGATAAATTGCAACTAGGGTTATGGATCTATTGATCCAGACTGAGGCTTCTGTTCCTGGTTAGGGAGGGTTCTTCGTGTTGCTGCAGATACCTATTAGAAAGTGCGTTCATGGAACTTTGGTGATATTTATTATTGTTTTTAACTTTTTTTTGCATGATTTTCTTAATGCATTATCTATATAATGCATTAAATAGTGCAATTTTCTCAGTATTTCTTTAAAGGTATGGTGTAATGGAGACAAATGTCTTTATAGGTATACCAAGGACATTGTGATATGTATGATGCAATTCCACCTTCTGTTTATTTCAGGTCACACTCAAAGTGACAGCTCAGAGCAATATGATAGCACTACATACCATACACTGACATGCATAGCATTATCCATTCCATCTGATTAATATGTCAACTTTCTGCCAAGCCTATACTGTGCAGATAGAGAATGATCTCAATGCAAGGCTGCTATACGGTAATATCCCCGTGATTCCATATTAAACAAAATAGTTCATTTTTAAAATAAGTCAAAACAAACAAACAAAAAATAAATAAAACAGTAGAGACACAGACATGATGAAATAACTACGAATAATGAATTAAGAACACATAAATGCAATACTACATAATTTCCTATCAATGCTAATTATAAAACGCCCCCAGAAATACATACTGTTATACTACATCCAATGGATGTTTGGCACAGTTACAGCACAAAGCACAGCTCTGTTGCGTTCCTTATGCTGGCATCCAGCACCCAATCACAGAATCTAGACAGGATTAAACATCACCTGACACATTTCACCAATACCTGGGACTTATACAATCATTGTAGGGGAGGAGTAGATACAAACTGATATTTTTATTGGGACACTCCACTGTCCAAATCTAAAATAAATAATAACCACTTTTTAGTACATATATCGCAAATTAAAACATAAAATTGAGGCAATATCTAAAAACAACTTGCAAAAGTTGCAGATCTCTTGTCTGCAGCCTTTACAAGCTCTCCTCTTCTAACCCCGCCCAGACTTCCTGTGGCTGACTTTCCAATATAGCTCAATGAGAAGTCTTTGCAAGGCAGGAGCTCTGGTGCAATTTCTATCAAATTCTTTACTTTTTGTAAAAGGAAAAGAATAGAGGACACACTCTTTACGCATAAAGCACTTCAGCAAGCTAAAGTGCTTTAGAAGTCTTGAGTGTCCCTTTAACGTTTACTTTGACTCAAACAAAAGTATATTTGCCGTGATGGTAAGATAACACATGATACTTATATAATATAACAATAGATAGTGACACCAGTCGGTTGTGGTGTACTGGAACCGACAAGGCAGTAGGCCTGTAATAAAGAGGGCCCACCTTAGAGGGTGATGGGAGGGGTCACTCACTAGACCAACAATGGCAGAGTGGTTGAGGATTGGTATCCCTTACATAGGGGAACAAAGCCCCTCCCAGAACTACAGGCCCAGCCTTAAATTTGTGGTCAAGGCAATATTTGCAGTTATGGTAAGATAACACATGATACTTATATAATATAGATATAAGTATCAATAGATAGTGATACCAATCGGTTGTGGTGTTCCGGAACCGACAAGGCAGTAGACCTGTAATAAAGAGGGCAAAAGGAAGGGTACCATACAAGATTTTATTCATACTACACAACAACAATTATTTGGTCAAGTCACGAAAAGCCTGTCATAACTCATTAACTGGGTTTGGAATGTATAAGGTGTAGGCAGAAGATTTCCAGTGTCCCATTGTTTTGATTATGTGAGCTGGAATATGGTTGGAGGAAGCGGATGATGCTGCCCCTATGCGGAAAAAATGTCCCAAGTAATGTATAGCGTTTAGGCCCCGTCTGGTCAAGAACAAATTGAAATAGTACATGAATTTGGCAGTGGTAAGCGTGGAACCGTGTAGTTCTAACAGTGGTTGATGTGGTTGTTTTTGAAAGATATCGAAGTATGCATCCAACACCTTAACAGGACACCATTTGTTGGAGGTAGGGATAAGGGGTATGTCAACAGTGTGCCCCCTTTGGCTGGTTTTGGAATGGTGAAGAGGCAGAATGTAATGGTCTCTGGATTTGTGAATATCTATAATTTTAAGGTAGTCTGTGTTGGTGATACTGGTGGAGGTAAATTCCCCTGGACATAGGAATCCGTAAAACCCAAGATAGATGGCAGTTTTAATTACCATGTTAGTTGTATGTTCAAATGGGGCCGTATCTAATATCTAAAGACTGGAAGAGTTTGTTGTGGATGGGTAATCTTTTGTGGGGAAGGTATGTTTGTGTCTTGTTGGATTCCCTTTAGCAGTGTTTTTATCTGGTAGGATGAAAGAAAAACAGTTTTGTTTGGGTGTCATAATAACATGTGGTTTTGTATGACCGTTAAATATAATTTGATAGTGTTGAAAGATAACTTTAAGTCAAAGTGGCAAAAGGGAGTGAACTCCAAAAAAATCTCCAAAGAAAAGTGTCTCGAACCCGGAACTCCACCACAAACCTGGTAAAAACGTGAAAAGCCCTGTCATAGATTTCCTGGAGCTGACTAAAAGTGCTGTATGGGAAAGAGTACGTGCTTGGGCCAACAGCAAAGTCAATCCAGGAGCATGACCTGGAAAGGAGGGGTGGGGGTAGCCATACTGAAAGCGGTGGGAAGAGCCTGGAGGAAAGCCCGGTGAGGCTGATGGGCCCTCACGCATCGCAGCAGCCCCAGAGGAACAGACCACTTCCAACTTCTCCAATCGGTCACTGACAAGTCCAATAGAAGACATCAGTGATGTGAGCATGGCCCGAACATCTGGCAACTGGGAACCACCAGGCCCTTCCCTAGCCCACGAGTTGTTGGTATCCGTGTTCAGAAGCCTTCCTAGCCGTAGCCGGGAAAGGGATCCCCCATCTGCGGAGCTCAGTTGAGAGACGCGGGACAGTTCATGACCCCAGGGAAGCAGGACTAGCCGCCTCCATACCCAGGACAGGGACGCCGGACCTAGCCGGGGTGCAGGGAAGGAATAGGTCTTCCAAAGCGTCAGGAATACTGAACATATTGAGACATACTGAAATACATATACATAAGCATCACAGGCAGCAAAAACAACACAACCAGGTACTGACCTGCTAACAAATGCCAAGTGGCGAAAAAAATTATACTAGCACAACATGACCGGTGAGGCCCTGCTAAGTGCCAGGTGGCTTGAGAGGCTTTAACTATGAATTGGCCCGAGGTGAGGTAGAGGGCACCGAGACGCAAGTGGCGAGGTGATGGCCTCTCGGTGACTACTAAAGCATAAGATAGAATGGGAGTGACAGGTGAGGCCCTCCCTATGCAACAATGCGAGGCGAATAACTATGCATCGGGCCGATGAGGATGGGTTTTGGCCTTGCGGGACCACCTGCCTACGGCAGAGAGCCAGAAACATAACCTATGTGGCCATCCTAGGTCCCTACAGGCCAGTACTAAAGTCTAAAGGAGAAAAACTAAAGGGGGGAGGGTAAGACGTCCAAATGTCGTACCTGTGCTTGGTACAATCGGTAACGGAGATACTCAGCAGAATAAATGCGAAAGGTAGGAGAGGACACATAATGTCAACCTATGACGAAACGTGAGACAGTAACTGAATATGAGATAGGTACGTACGTGCATATGTGGGCCAGATTGTGGACCCGAGCACTAGAAACCTACCCCAATCCTAGAAGTGAGGGGGGCCACACAGTGGGATGTAGCCACGAATGGGAGACCCTGGTAAACGAGTCCGTCACGTAGTATGTACACCTAAAGAAACATGGGATGTTAAATTAACAAACAGGAGAAAAGGACCAAGCCAGTAAACAGATCCCAATTACCAACCTAAAACAGACCAATATGAGGGATTCGTCAGACACAGGAACGATCCCCAGACAATATGTCATGAGTACCAAAATACTTGATGTGTGACCCCAATAACATGACAGATTTACCAGCAAGAAACAATGCATGCAAACAGACAGGTATAGTTGTGTAACACCAACAAATGAAAACTCCAAATTGCCCAGCAGGGGTCACCGGAGCACCCCAACAACAGCCGGCCCTGGTGCAGCGAATGTACATACAATTACCTAGACAGGATAGGCACCACGGGAGAAAAATGTGCGAAAAATGTGCAAATGGCCCCTACCAGGACGCGGCCGATCGCCAGTTACGAGCCAATCATGCGGACGGCACCCACAAAGTTTTCGTGCAGGCGACCGCACAAACAGGGGACCTGACCGTGGGAACAGCCGAAACCGAAGTGGGGGTGCTGACATTCGAGCCCAGGACCGAACACATGCAAAACAAGCGCACCAGACCCCATAGCTGAACAGGACACAAGCATGCGAAAAAGGTAGAAAATCAAACAGCAATGCAGCCAAAAGAGTGCGTCTGAGGCGCCCCAGTGTGGGTCCCACTTACGGTATCGAAGAGGAGTTGTCCCGGGACCAGTAAGTCGAGCCAGAAGGAGGAGGCAGTGGACCAGGAAAGGCAGACAAGCGATGAGGGCCGGGTGTTTGCGGAGGAACACCGGAGCCAGGAACCAGGAATCAGGTAAGAGGCAGCGAGAAGAAAGTGGACCGTAAGCAACAAGTCACTCGCCAGACCAACAATGCTAGAGTGGGAGAGGATTGGTAGCCCTTATATAGGGGACCTAAGCCCCTCCCACCACTGCAGGCCCAACTTTAAATATATCAAAATTTCCACGTCGTGGGAAAATTACTTCCTGTTGAGTATAAATTCACTCCTGGTGAGTGTGCTGTAGAACCTCTAGGCTTCTAGTGGCAAATCAATATTAGGCCTGGCCAGTAGTGTAGGACATGAATTTCTGAGCCCTAATATATCAATGAGCAACTTACAAGAAAAAATAGTCACATATATCACATTATTATTGAACAAAAATGAACCAAACATAGTCACTTCAGACCTAGGTAACACTTTCAAATAACATGCTATTAACTAACAAATGAAAAATCTCCTTTCACATATGTTCATACATAATTTATAGATGTATTCATTTAATAGTTTTAATAGTTTCACACCTAGGGGATAATTACAAATAATTAATGCAGAATTGTATTTAATTGGAATCTAAACTGCTGATCAAGGAATTTATTATCAACATTTTAAAAAATCTTGTCTGCATCTATATTCAGCCTTGTATAAAATGTTTGATATGCAATATTTCCTTACAGAAGTTCTTGTTTGCAATGATGTATTAATTATTTTTTTTCCTTAATGCATCAAAGGGACTCTCCTCCCTCAAGTGAAGAGTCCCTATGTGCTTCTGTAAGTCATTGTCATTGGTTTCATTCTGTAGTTGGGTCCCAGTAGCTGTCATTACTGCCACCTGTTGACTTCGCCACGGCCAAGCAATTTCTTTGTATTCTTCTGCTTGGACAGCAGCGATGTTCTCAGACTATTACTGGCCTACAGTACGTTTAACCCATGAGTGAAGGTGGAACCCAGGGACACTCAACCCCAAAAAAACTAATTAAGACTATCTGCAATAATAGCTCATCACATAGGATGATTGGAACTGCTCTGTAAAGTGATAGCAGCCTGGTACAGGGCTTAGTGAACTGGCTATGTTAAACATTCCTGAAATAAGAGGTCAGTTTACGTATGAAGCATGAAAAACCTTGATAAAATTGATATAGCCAGGCTGACTGATGGGAATTAGAGATGGAATTACACCAAACCTTTTTTTGCCCCCAAAAAATGTTCTTAACATTTTGGGACTGATAGTGTTTTCTAGCAAACAGCAGCACAGACCACATCCTTGCACCATAACCACCTCAGCAAGTTAAAGTGGTTATGGTGCTTGGATTAACCCTTTAACAAAGTATTTTTGTAGAATACAATTTTAATGGCAAGTGTGTTTGTTTTTTTTTGACATATCACATATCACAATAGACTAACAGAGTTTAAAAATTACAATTGCCAGGAGTTCAAGGTGAATTCAAAGTAAATTTAAAACTTAAGGCCAAACTAGTTGAACTTAGATGACATATGGATGCAAATGAAACAAACAAAAAAAAAATATCACAGTTTATTATATATAAATAAAATAATAGGGATCCAGGCACTCCTTGGTGCAAGGCAGGCACTTTATTGAGAACCACAACAGCATTCATTGATAATGGAAATAACCTACTTAAGGGCATCTCTTTATACAAACTTTCTTCTATATATGAAAACTCTTTGTACTTGAAGCGCTTAATATGTTAAGGATACTTAATATTAATACTCTGTGATTTTGATCAAGGATTTCTAATCGATAATGGAAATTTCTGTATTCGTATACTCTGGTCTTATCTTCGTACTGTATTTATGTTGTATATGTGTATTGTATGTCCTATATACACTTGGATGTTATGTCAGTATCCATATAAAAATAATGTATACATTTCTTTTTCAAAGCTCATTCATTATTGGCAATTAAGTATTAGACTCTCTTTCTAATTAATGTAATTAACAAAGTATTGTTGATAAGTAATAAACTACTTTCAGCTGTTAAACTACTTGCTTAGGATACTGATTCACATGTATATTTTATAATTGTGATTGTTTAAAGTTTGTTATATATATATTGTAAAATTGATGTATGTATCAGCTTGACAAAGACCTTTTGTGGTCGAAACGTTGCTGTTCTCAATGAAGTGCCTGTCTTGAACCAAGGAGTGTCTGGACCTCTCTTACTTTACTAATGTTTGGAAATGTGGTGTTTGATTCCGGCTCAACAAGCACCCTGGCTCAGATTTGTGGGAGTGAGTGCAGTTCCACGTATACTATTCAAAGTTTATTATATATAGACCAAATGAATATGAAATTGGAATAAAATTTTGGCTAATTCTAAAAAAAGCTCTAAAAAGCTGCAGATTTGTAATCCTGCCCAGACTTTTTGTGGCTGTCCAATCATAGACATCCCAATGCAGTCTTTGCAAGGTATTCGCTCTGGGCAAGTGCTGTCTTTTGTGTGTAACTCAACTGAGCTAAACAAACCAGGAAGTAACAGGACCTAGGGTGCAACAAGACTAATTTATAAAATTGACAATTTCTACTGAAATCTTGCAAAATGATAAAAAGATTCTTCACACTCAAAGCAATTCTGCAAACTAAAGTGCTTTAGGAGTCTAGAGTGTCCCTTTAAAGCTGTTTCAGTTGTGCCCCAAAATGTGGAAAATTCCTTCCTGACTCCAAATATTAATCTGATTGCTATTATTCATATTATAAATTACAGCCCTAAATAAATTAAGGAAACATTCAGATCTTTAAAAAACATATTTATATTCAGGAAATATCATTTTAATGAGTTTAAATACAGGTAGTCCTCATTTTACGACTTACCTGTTTAACAACAGTTCGGACTTACGACCAGCTCTCTAGTGCGGGCATTCGAGGGATTCCCCACGGTAGAGAGCTGGTTTATGTTTGGGAAATTTTCCCCAAACATTGATCAGAGGGATTCCCTACTCAGGTGCTTGTGTCTATATTCGGCAAAATTTCCCTGAACATAGACCTGCACTGGTTCGCTTGCTCTGCAGGTCATCCTCACTTACCGACCAATTTGTTTTACAAACGAGTCGTAAGAACTGAACCCGGTCGATAAGTGAGAAGTCCCTGTATGTCTTTCCACCTTTTCCAGAAAATATTTTATTGTAGTAAAAGGTCAATGAGGATTAGAAACAGATCACGTGTCAGGTTAGTATATCTAACAAAAACAATGTCTTGGTATTTGACTTTGGTACTTGATATTTTTGCATAAGCTTTCAAAATGGTTACAATCTGTCAGAAAAACTTTTCAAATTATTTATCTATTGCAGTCACTGTTGGGAATGTAATCCTAAAAGCTGCCATACATGTTACGATATTCAAACTTGGCATGAGATGCTAGATTACTGTGATATGATAACATTGCAAAGTTACAAAGTGTCATAAACGGAACAAAGATTAAGTTGATAAATCAAATCTAAACTGTGAAATGTGCACTCAATGAAAAAGAAAATGTGTTCAGATTACAAGCAGGGAGTCTGATGTCAGAACCACAACACCACTACAGTTGGTGCATAATGACTTAGCATGTCCCATAGAACCACAAACTAAAGAAGGTTTCAGATATCTCATGGCATTAACGGATGACTACTCAGGAGCAGTGTTTGTATACGTCCTGAGAAATAAGATTGATGCAATGTCTGCCACTGAAAAGTTCATTGCCAACACAGCCCCATATAGAAACATAACGTATCTACTAGACATGTGTAATTCGTTTTAGTCCGAATATGAATTGCCGAAGTGCCGAATTGCCGAGATTCCGAAATTACTGAATTTCCGAAGTGTCGAAGTTCCGAAGTGGCCGAAGTGACAAAGTGCCGAAGTTCAGAAGAACAGTATTGCCTAAGTACTAATATTCTTACCCAGTGAAAGAAGAAGAATGTTACATTGTATACAATTTTAAATAAAAAGTATACAAACATAGCCAGGATTCAGCTGTAAGCATTTGCAACACTTACAACAATCAAGTAACATACATTCATATAAAATGTAAGTTACTTAGCAAGTCAATGTAATGACAGGAATGAATAAGTAGATAACTCCCTAATTTCCACGGTATACTAATACTAATAAGGGGTGGAGACCTAATACAGTATACTGAGCGGTGGGTGGGGGCCCTAAATACTAATAAGGGGGGGACCTAAGGTCCTACCCCTGGCCCCCACCCCTGAGCGGCGGGTGGGGGCCCTAAATACTAATAACGGGGGGAACTAATGTCCTCCCCCCTGGCCCCCACCCCTGAGTGGCAGATGGGGGCCCTAAATTGTAATATGTTACCCCCCCAGATGACTAGGGGTCCCCAAACCCCTATTCACCCCCCCAAAAAAAAATTAACTCCCTACCGTCTATTTTTTTGTTTTTAACAGTGAGCAGCCACAGGCCACAGGCTGCTCACTGTTTACTAGACATGCCCCTACTCACGGTATAGCGAGTAGGGGCAAAATGTACTAATACTAAGTAATCTTTACTTAGTATTAGTAAATTTGGCTGAAAGACCAATTTAGGTCTTTCAGCCTTTTGGTAGATAACTCCCTGATACTGTGGGAATTAGGGAGTTATCTACTTAGTGGCTGCAAGAGAAGTCCTGAAGTGCCGAAGTCCCGAAATTCCGAAGTTGCCGAATTTCCAAAGTGTCGAAGTGCCGAAGTCCCGAATTGCGAAAGTCCTGAATTTCGGAATGCCGAACCGTAACGAAAATTTTCCCCATGCACATGCCTAGTATCTACAATGGTTCAGGGCTGAGAGTTTCAGGTCACTACTAAACAAACAAGGTAT